AGCCTACACAACCCTAGCCACCATGGAAGTGCAACAACAAGCTGGGAACAACAACCAGCAAGCTGCCAACAATGAACAACCTGCTCCTGCGGGCAACAACAACAACAACAATGTTAACGTGAATGTCGATCCTATGACAAATCCTTATTTTTTCCATGGATCTGAGCAGCCAGGGTTGCAGCTAGTGGGTTAGAAACTAACCACCACTAACTACAACGACTGGAGTAAAGCTATGTTTAATGCACTAGGAGCCAAGAACAAGCTCGAGTTCATCAATGAAGTTTTGACAGAACCAGCAGGAGATAGTCCCCTGCACTGGTCTTGGACCAGTAACAACATCATGGTACTTGCTTGGATACAACAAGCGGTTGAACTTGGAATCAGGAAAACAATTATGTCCTTCAAGTCAGCCTATGAGGCTTGGAGAAGCCTTCGTTCCAGATATGGACAAGGAGATATGGTCAGAATCACTGAAATTGTTAAGGATCTGGCCTCCATTAAGCAACGTAATCAGTCTGTTACAAAATATTATGGCAATCTCATTGCTTTGCACAATGAGCTTGATAAATATCAGCCCCTTGAACCTTGTGACTGCACCCCTACTAGCCACACTGATTGTAGGGCTATGAAACAAGTATTCTACTATAGAGATACTAACTATGTCATTCAGTTCCTTAGAGGATTGAATGATAACTATACAACTATTAGATCTCAAGTTCTTTTTGGAGATGAACTACCTACAATTGATAGGGTTTTTCAAAGGGTTCTCCAACATGAAAGACAGATCTATGGGACACAACAAAGTAAGGCCCTTGCTGCTGATTCTACTGTTTTAGCTGCTCAAACTTGAAACTTACAGAACAGGAGGGCTAGGCCTTATTGCACTCACTGCAAACTCCATGGTCACACTGAAGATGTGTGTTACCATAAACATGGCTGGCCTCCTGTTATGAATCCGAGGACAAGCACCTCCACTGGCAAGGTTCTTGAATGCACTCACTGCAAACGCCAAGGCCACACTGAGGATAGGTGTTTTGTGAAGCATGGATACCCACCAAACCCACGAACCAATGTTAGGGGCAGATCCTATGCAAACGCAACTGCAGCATCACCACCTGTTGACAATCAACAAGTGATCAAGCTTACCAAGGCTGATTATGACAAATTCATGCGCCTCCTTGCTGACAACAGCAACCAGAAGCCTCAAACCAGTTCTGGTCCTTCCTTCTCAGCTGCTGCCTTCACTACTACTGATTGCTCATCCTTAGGTAAATACTCCTTTAGTGCCCCTGATAAGTTGCCTTATCATCATACTTGGATTCTGGACACGAGTGCATCAGACCATATAGTCTGTTCCATTGATCATCTTTTCAATCCTAGACCAATACACAGTGTGTATATCACATTACCAACATTAGAGCAAGTCCAAGCAACTCATGCTGGAACTGTTACATGTGTGGTTGATCTAACCCTTGAGGATGTCCTATTTGTCCCCAAATTCAGTTTTAACCTTGTTTCTGTAAGCAAGCTCACTAGAAACAGGTCTCTTTCCTTAACCTTTCATTTAAATACATGTTTGATCCAGGATATGCAGCAGAAGAGGATGACTGGTTCTGCTGAATTGTTCCATGGACTCTACCACATCAACAACATTTCCCTCCCTAGCAAACCAAAACACATCATAGCTCTTACTGCACAGTCTTTTGATCTTTGGCATTTTCGCCTTGACATGTTTCTCATTCCAAAGTTCCACATTTGAAACAAATTTGTAATTCCATAGAAACTGATAGGTCACTACCCTGTGATGTTTGTCATTTTGCAAGACAAAAGAAACTTCCTTTCCCTTGTAGTTCTACTGTTACTACAAGTGCTTTCGAATTAATGCATGTGGACATATGGGAACCCAACCCTACTCCAAGTTATGATGGTTATAAGTATTTTTTTAACCATTATAGACGATTTTTGTAGGATGACATGGATCATCCTTCTGCAAACAAGAGCAGAAGCCAGAACCAAACTTCAGCAGTTATGCCTTCATGCTGAAAGACAATTTCAAACCTTTGTCAGAAAAATCAAGAGTGACCAAGGCAGAGAGTTCCAAATGACTAATTTTTTCAACCAAACTGGAATTTTTCATGAACTTTCATGTGTTGAAAGCCCTCAACAAAACAGTGAAGTTGAGAGGAAACACCAACATATACTTGTAGTGGCCAGAGCTCTCAAATATCAAGCCAATTTACCTGTAGCTTTCTGGGGGGATTGTGTGAAATGCAGTATTTTTGATTAACAGGGTTCCTACCATTGTCTTGGGAAACAAAACCCCATTTGAACTCCTTCATTATACCAAACCAAACCTCACTGAGCTCAAAGTTTTTGGCTGTCTGTGCTTTGCCAGCTCTTTGACAAATCACAGATCCAAATTTGATTCACGAGATAGAAAGGGTGTTTTTATTGGGTACACTCCAGGAATTAAGGGTTATAGAATTTATGATCTAGCCACCCATGACATCTTTGTCTCAAGAGATGTACAATTCTATGAGAACCATTTTCCATTTCAAACCCCTACTGCTACTCCTCCCACACCTGCAATATATAGTCAACCTACAGCTCCTGCACTTTTTGATGATCCTAGCCCTTCATACCAACCCAACCAGCCCTCCCCTAATCCATCTGACCCACCCATTTTCATCCAAGACCTCCACAATCACACTGACTATGACAGTCCTGATTCTGCAGAAGATGCAGACTCAGGTTCATCATCCCCACCACCCTCTCCTCCATCCTCTCCCCCTCCTCCTCCTCCTCCTCCTCCTCCTCTTCCTCCACACCCACTACGTAAATCCAATAGACAAACCAGACCCCCTCCTCATCTACAACAATACCATTACAACCTAATTCAGCAGGCTTCTTCTTCCAGCCATCCTCCTATGCAGCAGTCTCCAGGTATGACATATCCACTCTCCTCTGTAATCCATTATGATCATTTATCTCCCTCCTATAGACATTTTGTATTCAGCATATCCTCCCTTAAGGAACCTGTCACATATTCAGAGGCAATCCTCTCACCCTACTGGAATGCAGCTATGATTGATGAACTTCATGCCCTTGACAAGAATCAGACATGGGATGTTGTTGAGAAGCCTGAAGGGGTCAGATTGATGGAGAACAAGTGGGTTTATAAAATTAAACTGCTCCCTACTGGCAGTATAGAAAGGTTCAAAGCCAGAGTTGTTGCTAAGGGTTATAGCCAGCAAGAGGGAGTTGATTACTAGGACACATTTGCCCCAGTACTCAAAATGACCACCATAAGGTTGTTTCTTGCACTTGCAGCAACACATAAATGGCATGTCCACCAACTGGACATCAATCATGCTTTTTTACATGGGGATTTAGAAGAAACAGTCTACATGAAACTACCTAGGGTTACAAACCACCACCAGGCATGACTAACCCTGTTTGCAGACTTAAAAAGTCCTTGTATGGCCTCAAACAGGCCTCTCGCCAGTGGTTTTCCAAGCTGGCTGATGCATTACACATCCAAGGCTACACTTCAAGTAAGATAGATCACTCTCTCTTCTACAAGTCTACTGATCAGTCCTATACCTACATTCTTGTTTATGTTGATGACCTGATCATTGGTGGTACTGACCTTAAAGAAATCAATCATCTCAAGACTTTCCTCAACCATGAGTTTAGCATTAAGGATTTGGGTGAATTAAAGTTTTTTTCTCGTCATTAAAGTTTCCAGAAGCAGTAAAGGGATTCACATTTCACAAAGGAAATATACACTGGAACTCCTACAAGATGTTGATGTCCTGGCTGCTAAGCCTGTTACCACACCCATGGACTATAAATTGCATCTATCTGCTCACCATGATGACCCTTACCCTGATCCAAAGGCTTACAGAAGACTAGTAGGGAAGCTTATCTACCTAACTACAACAAGGCCAGATATCAGCTATGCTACACAGCAAGTAAGCCAGTACATGTCCAACCCATCTACCACTCATTGCAAAGCAATGATTCAAATTCTGAAATACCTGAAGTCTGCTCCTTCGAATGGAATCTTCTTCCCTTCTTCTTCCGCTATCCATCTCAAAGCCTTCTGTGACTTTGACTGGGCTACGTGGGTGGACACCCGCCGATCAATCACTGGCTATTATGTTTATCTCGGGGATTCCTTGATTTCCTAGAAAAGCAAGAAGCAGACCACAATTTATAGGTCTTCTTGTGAGGGGGAGTATCGTGCCCTTGCGCATACTGCTTCTGAAATTCAATGGTCAATATATCTTCTGCAGGACTTCAAGATTCCTCACCCGCAGCCTGCCACAATATAATGCGACAATCAATCTGTCATCCACATCGCCGAGAATCCAACCTTCCACGAACCAACTTAGCATATCGAATTAGATTGCCACTTCGTTTGTGAGAAGCTCCAATCCAACACGATCAAGCTTTTCTAGGTCTCCACACTGCACCAGCTCGCTGACCTGTTCACGAAACCACTTCCTCCATCGACATTTGTAGCACTCTTCTCCAAGCTTGGAGTTCACAATTTGTGTCCTCCAGCTTGCCGGGGGTATTAGAGAAAAATTCAAACTTGAATTTCCAACACTCTCTTCACGTTGATCCGGTGTCGTTGAAGGAAGGAAGATCTCCACAAGCCGAAGCCACGTTGTTGCAACTAATGACTAAACGATCGTGGAGCGATGTCATTTCTGGTGGAACTGGCAAACTACCTTCAGACCCAAGTTTGTCTCCTTTACCTCTTTTGTAAGGCACTAAACACTTCCTCCTCTAGCTATTTAAGCAGTGGATGGTAATGAAACAATCTAGGTTTTTCTCTTCCAACAGCAAAGCGTTGTAAGGATCTTTGTAAGATCTGACAATGTGAGTTCTCATTTTTGGATTCAGTTTTTGGTGGTGTTCTCAGAGACGTCGATTGGCCAACAAAGTGTTCCTTCTATATATAAAAGCTAGGTTCAATTATCGTATCACTTTCTATTGTTTAGCTGGTTTTCAAAGGCCTTCGCAACAAATAAATTTCCCACTCACCTCTTCCTCTCGCCTGCATGGTCTCCCCCAATTCTAGCAAACGCCCATCCCTTCTGTATGCCCGCTGATGCAGACATCGCTTCTCCTGCACAACAACCCTACTGAAACCTCTGCCAAACACGCCAATGACCATGAATCGTACTATACTTGCTTTGCTGACCTTGATTAGGGTACTGGTACTCCCAACCCTCGGAGCCGGATTGCTTAGTTCATGGTCCTCTCTCACCTCAGTTTGTGCCCTATTTCGTTTTCGCATTCTCACCCTTTCTCTCCCACCTCCGTCCAGTTCTCGGCTTCCGGCGTCTCTTTCCAATCTACGCTCCTCCTTTCACTAGACTCATGGAATCATATTGTCCTTTCCAAGCTCACATGGACAGTGGAACAATGGCCGGAGAAGAGGGCCCTTACCTAGGAGGAAGAGGCAGACACGCCAGTGGGTGGTGAAGACGATGGTGAGTGGATTTTCTATTTATTGTTTTCTCCATCTTTTTTAGCAGTAGATTTGAGATAAGTCATGTCCCAAGTCCGGATCTTTGTAAGATCTGACAATGTGAGTTCTCATTTTTGGGATTATGTTTTGGTGGTGTTCTCAGAGACGTCGATTGGCCAACGAAGTGCTTGCCTCCATGAATGTTGACTGTAGCTCAGAAACGGATGCAGATTTTGTGAGTTTGGGGGAACTTTAATTTGGTGGTTCTATCTTTGAGTGAACTTTAATTTGGTGTTATTGTTTCATTTCAGCTGCAAGCATGTTGGCGCTTTGTTCCATAAGCAAGAGACGACTGACATAAAGGTTCTGAGAATTGACGACCAGCCAAATATGAACTAAAAGACTGGCTTATCTGATTCTGTCTACTATGGCATATCTCCTTATGTGTACAAAATTGGCTTATTCGACAAATACAACAAGCTATTGGTGCTCTTCCCAACAGATTACTACTTACTACTATCACTATGTGTTTTGGTTGGTCCTGCTCATGTTTGTTGTTAAAAGAACCTTGATTTATGTCATTAGTTTGGTTCTTTGCAGCTAGGCTTTGGAAGCCGATAAACAAGTACCCTTTTGACATATACTGCATTTATGATGTCAATCAATGGAGAAAGGCCAAACTTATGACCCTTCAGGGTTCCCACCTCACAATTCCACCACCTCTCTGGTATCTTTCTGCAAAGGAGAAGTAAGACGGGTTCAAGTTGGAATTCAGTTCGTTCTCCATGGAACTCTAAAGCAGTAGTGGGACGGCAGAAGGTATGGATACAAGAGGAGAAAGCTTGATTGATTTGTCTGCTTCGAATTGAGGCTGGAAGGATCATTGCTGCATGGAAGTTTCATGTTCGCCCCAAGCTTTATTTTGTTGGTATCGATTTACATGTAAAATGGTTCAATGTTAACTTTGGGCTCCATTTTTACATTTTTAGGGAAATGCATAGAGGAGCTTAGAGCTACTACCACGACAATAACAGTGGGTGGGGATGCTACACTGAGGACCAAATAAAGCAGATTCTATTGAAGCATACGGAGTTTCAGCACAAGGATGCCATTTCCCACCTTTCTGTGACGGGCTACGATGAGGAGACTACATTGAAAGTGGTTCTGTGTACTGAGTATCCAGTTTGGTTTCTCTCAATTATATGATTGCTTCAACTCAACATTTGTTTGTACTGTGCTGTTAAATCATTTCAGATTAGCTTATTGATTTGAAATGATTGATTGTTTTAGGTGCACTTTTGGGTGATTTGTGGAGGATGCAAAGGCCTTGGCAAAGAATGGTAGCTTTCTTTGGGGGTTAGGGATTCAATTGGGGAAGCACATATAGTCTCCATGCCTTTGTTTCCAACAGATAGTAGACTCAACTTCAATTTTGCAACATCGGCAACCTGATTCATTATGAGGGCTGTCCAGAGAGGTAGAGAAAGTTAAGAAGCATAGTGACACTTCAAATTCAAGTTGTTTTAAGGTTTTTGAACCTAGACGTGGCATACATGATTTTATAAGACTTTAATTGTTTGTATGTTATAAAGACACCAACTAAGGAGTTAATTTCATGTCACATATTCTAGCTATTTGGAGTCTCTAATGCCATATTTTGTTATGCTATACTTAAGTTAATTAGAGCTTAAGGCCATTGCAAGATAAATTAATGTGAGCTTCTCAATCTAGATTATTTGGATTGATGTACAGTTTTTTCTTGGTTGTATGCTTCTGCAGCAACTTCTCCCTTGCCGTGCTGTCACGTTGAAATGGTATCCGATATGTGTCTGCCAACATCATGACACCCCATCTCTTTTTGCAGTTCTTTGAAGAAAAGTTCTGGAAGGCAGTAGCTTGCTGTGATGGAGAAAAGTTTGTTGCAGAATCTGATGAGTAAGCAACAAAGAGCTGGGATCAAATGTTGATATAGTGTCTGGATAATGCATAACAGGTTATGTTCACCAACAGGTATGTAGGCTGAGAATACTTATGGTAGTGATCTAAAAAACCCAAGCTGAATCGACAGAATTTGAGAGCATCATGTTGTAAGCAGCTCTCCTTGAAATGATGTGATTATTTCTGAGTTGTTTATTTCTATTAAATTTTGTAACTGTTGAGTTCATGGAAAATGTAAAGCTTTCCATCCGAGATCTTCTTCCTTCCTATCATTGTTTGTGTTTGTCTAGAGATGTAACCCAGTGATCATCATCTACATAGCTTCCTCTTCGACTACTCAATCACTCGCCACTTTATATAAATCCAGTAGCAAACATATTGTTGGGGCTCCAATGCAACATGTCTCGACCTTATTTGCTTCACGTGTAGTTGTTCTGCATCCACTTTTATCATGATAGTTGCTTTCTGTATTTCTGCCTTGATCTTCAGTTGCTGATTACTTCATGTTTGTGCATATCTTCTTCCTTGACTTATACAAAATATGGATATGTATGTTTTTTACCTTGATTAATCAATTATTCAAATCACTAGTGGACTGAAATAAGGTTTGGTGACTTCAGAAGGTCAGTTCTTCCTTTTACCTTTTTCGTTTGTTTCACTTTGTCAATTTTCCTCCAATCTCGAATTGTTTGTGTTTATCCATATTACTTTTACCATTTGGCTTGCAACCTAAACCAGAATTAGATCTGACCTCTGCGCCTAAACATCCTCTAAAGTAACCAACCTGCAACTTCTAAACTTTATCTTTGGTCGAAGTGAATTAGATCATTACAGAAATATTAATCACCAAAGTTTATGCAACTTATTGTTGACTTGTTTCTTAGTCAATGTTCTTGTTGGTGTTATCTAACTCGATTTACATCACCATGATTAAACCTACTAGGAGGGTGCTCAATCATTAGAGTGCGTGCTTTCTATAATACTTTCCTTCTCTTGCTTTTGAACAATTATGCTCACTGATCATCACATGTTTTTAAAGGTTGGAAACAATCTGATGCAGTTATTGTTGGTTGGTTCTTTGTGGTTGTGCTCTACTAAATTCATGCCCCCCCCCCCCTGCATTTGAGCAAAATATTATGTACATTGCTACTCTTTTGCAGTTCCAAGCCGGTTCTTGCTATTTAGAGTATAGGGTTCGTTGCTTTGCAGGTGACAGTTTTGGAACTGGGCCTTTGTGTTTCACTCAAATCTTCATCGGGCGGTTCGAGAGCGTACAGAACCAAGAACGACATGTTCTTGCACATATTATGCTGGAGTGTTTGGTTGGAAAGAAATGCCAGGATCTTAAAAGACGTTGCTAAGACTTCACGATGGTATACTTTGGAATTTGGCAACATATGTCCAATTGGTTGTGCGCTTCGAAAAGGTTGGGAATGCAGTGGTGTACGATTGGATGAGGACTCTGAGACATTGCATACTGCCAAGATTGCCAGGAACAACGCGTAACCATTGAAACTTCCAGCGATCTGCAGGCAACTTACAACAACTTCCGATTGAGAGCCAATTCCTGTGTGGCTGGAATTACAGCAACTTCCGATTGAGAGCCAAGATCGCGAGGAACAACACGTATTATCTTGTACTGTTTGGATACTTTTTCCTGTTTGTAATCTGTCTTTCCTTTTCTTTGCTTTCCTCAGTGGCCTGTTCAATAGGAGAGGCTTATCGACCAAAATTTAGTGTCGTTCTGCCCTTGCGTGGGTTGAAAAGATTGATTAATCCTTTTACTGTAGCACTGATTTAGTTTCGCCTTAATTATTTACCTTTACCTCTTGATTTTGTGGGTTTGTTAATTTTAAATGTTGGTCATTGGATGTGCAAGATTTGGTTTCTCCTCAAGAATGACTAATGCAAATGTTATTTGACGTTTTTTTTTTGTCAACAGATAACATATATTAATCCAATCAAAAAGATAATTACATCCTGGAGAGCAGCCAGGCCCTGAAATCAAACAAACGATTCCCAGTCGGGTACAAAGAGAGGGCTTTTCTAGCTACCGAATGAGCTACCCTATTGTTATCCCGACCTACAAACCGCACACTAAACCCCGGATGGGCATCAAAATATTGACAAATCTCTTCCAGGACTGCCCCCAACTGATTGTCTCGCAAATCGGCTTGATTAATCTTGTCAATAATGTTATTTGACGTTCAGTTCTGCATAGTTTTAGTTATCTCATTTCAGAATCTATTTCACGTGCCAACTGCTATATGTTGATGTTGGTCAATGTGGGAAAATTTTCAGTAATTATTATGATCTATTGCTTACGTTGACTAATCGGCTAAAAGAATCACGTGTTGTTTTGTTGGATTCTGGAAAGGATGGAGCACAATAAACTTAAACGGTTAACCATTTTTAATACCATGGTCACAGTTAGGAGTGTATCTTATATTTGCTTACTATGTAACATATTTTTTACGTAGATGGAGTACTTTAGTGACTTTGTTCCACAATTTTTGAATTTCTTTGATATGTTGGGTATAGACTAATAATGACTTATCTTTTTTACAAAGTTTGTTTGAATTTTTTCGAAAAATAATGTGATGTATGGATTGATTTGATGTCTAAAATAGTGAGTTTCATATGTACAAAGGTATTTCCTCGGGGTAGGTTTAGTAGAGAACTTACAAAGTTAATGAAAAGTATACATCGACCTTAACCTCTTTACAACTTATGTTTTATAAATAATCATTATGATTGTAAGTTTGTATGTATAATAAGAAACCTTTTGAACAAAAGTTTTTATACTTAGCATTCTGCATATAATTCTAACCATATCCATTTTAAATATATGATATTTAGAGATATCCATTGGCGGATCCAGGGGGTGGCCAACCCAGGCCCCGGCCCAGCCCTCCTATGGATTCAAAGTTAGTATAGTCCTTATGAATATTTTGATTTTAGACATTCGGTTCAATGTTATTTTATAATAAGATTGTGTATAACTAGAAAAATAATTCGTATGAACATATTCAAATAACTACTCTAAATTTAGCTTATAAATTCTAGCCCCAAATATTTTCGTCTAAACAAAAACAACGGAACCTAAAATTCTAAAAGTCTAAAGCATAAAAGACTAATAAAAGAAATATGAGATTTATTCCATTGAAAATTTACTAGAGCAGCTGTTGGATATAGAGATGGACACATAATGGAATTTGATTAGTCGATTGATTTTAGTGTTGACGTTGTCCGTTTCCACAGATGCTACGGCGAGAATCTTATCAACAATGAAACATGTGAAAACTTATTAGCGCAACAAAATGAGCGATGAATTACTCGTCGGTTGCTCAAGTATTTTATTTGAAACAGAGCATACTATTGGTATGGATATAGACTCCATCATTGATGCATTCGCTAAATTAAAACACCATCGTGAACAATTGACATTGTAAAAAAATATAAAATCATTATCCTTTTTACGATATCTAATTTCTAATGAAATGCGGCCCAGTGCGCTATTGTGTTCTGGATCCGCCGCTGGAGATACCAAATACAACTAAATGTTATGCAGCGTAGTAGGGGGTATGGATTCTAGTAGCATTTAGTTACAGGTTCTGCGTACCTGAAATTGGGTATGATTTCGTTTTGCTTTAGATTTTGTCAAGACTGTTGAGAAATGGTTAGCAACACAAAAAGGTCTGAAGGGCAAAATGAGATGCGAGACGTATCATTACGAACAATGCTTGTATTCTACTTCACTCATGTATATGAATCGATATAAAGGTCGTATATACAAGAATACAACATAAGAATAATTGAAGAATTGAAGCAATGGGAATCTAATATCTATCACCCTCGTCCTGCAATATTCCTCAAAGGCTCTGCTTTCTGCCTCTGTTTCCTACTCATAAAATGGAGGGTGCAGTAACAAATATACCATCTTTTTGTTGTTCTCTTTTTGGCTACATTACTACCACTATCATCATCACCAAGATAAGATAAGATGTTCAAGAAGAGGTGACGAGCCACATGAAGCAAGTGGACCAAAGGGTGAGGGAGACGGAAGCCAAGGCGTAAGTCCAGAGCATGATGACGGAACACTCGGACTCCCCTGCTCCAAACAACTGGGTGATGATGCCGATGTTCATCGCAGGCGGGACGGTGAACTGCAGGAGGAGAATGAATTGATAGAGTGGGTCGTTTGCCGGGATGAACCCTAACCGCAGCGCCCCTTTCACCACCACGATCCCGACCAGAGGAAGGGCCACGTATCTGGCCAGTACCACCCCGATTATCACCGTCTTCTTCACGCTCGACCCTTTCAGCCCTACATGATCACCGAAGAAGCAGAAGAAGAATTTTCTAATTAGTTAATTTACTCTTTATGATGTTTTTATAATGATGATGATGATGATGAGTACCTCTGAGTAGATTAGCTCCGACAAGCAGGGTCAGAGTTGGGATGGCTGCCTGTCTGCATAGACCCAAAGCCAAAACGGCATTAATACTATACGATGAGCAAAGTTGTTTGTTTATTTTGAACATATGATGATTACATAATCTAATAGGCGTGTGGGGGCTTGTGGCCTTACCCTAAGAGGACAGCGGAATCTTGAATAACACGAAGAGGTGCTTCGTCTCCCACCAGCACATTCTTTATTGGCGGAGTCAGCCCGATCGCAAATCCTATAATCTGCACATAGAAAAATAAATATTGTATTACAAACCAGAGAATGAGAAGATGATAGGATTTGTTAATGGTGCATGTTAAATAAGTAGTTAGTGTGAGTGTTACTTACCACACCAATGGTGGAAGGTGCAAAGATGGTCTTCCAGTTGACATTTCCCAGCGTTTTGGTCAGCCCTTGCTTTACCTTCTGAGGGAAGCTGCTGATCTGTACAGAAAACAAGAGTTAATTATCAAGCACGCGTACGTACAAGCAAATCGCAGGCCGTTTGCTTGCGTTAATTAGGCAAATTAAAATTAAGCTGTTTACCTTGTTATGGTTCGAGGTAGGTGAAGCAGGTTGAAGAAGCGGGTGTTCAAGGGAGTTTTCAACAGTTCCAGTCGTAGTAGTATTGATGATGCTGACTGGAAGCTTCTCTATGTCATCGCCGCCTTCTCCTCCTGCTGTATCTACTATGGTCGATGCCCTCATAATACTGTAAACATAGGTCCATAGATACACTGCTCCCAACTGCGCGCATCAAATAAAATATATTAATTTTGAAGTATGTAGCATCAAATTCAATCTCGATCGGTTCATCAGCAGCATCATGATATGTAATGTAAGCAGACATGTTTGTTTAATTTCTAGACGTACGGCCATGGAGACGGAGACATAGGCCAAGCCGTAGGACTGGCAGACTTCAGGGGAGCCAAAGGGGCTGCCTTTCTCCTTACAGATGGCGGGTATCATGACCATAAACATGTTGCCCAAGTTCCCTGCGGCGGTGCAGCCGATGATGAGTCCCCTCAGCTCCTTGGGCGGCCTGGTGAGCTGTATGACCATCCAGCCCAGGACCGAACCCACCACGAAGGTGATGAGGACGTTGACCGGCATGAACCACAGCTTCACCATCTGCTGGAAGGTTATGGTCTGGGAGAGGCTCCCCACCATGAGTGCCGGGTTGAACACATAGAACACTACCTGCATCCATCCATGTACATTTATTTATGTAAGTTACATTAGTACGCGCGCTCAGCCACATAGATACATACAGTGGCTAAGCCAGAAATCTGAACGTAGAGTGATTGGTACGAGTTAGTTAGTTACGTTGTTGACGTGTTTTCTGGCATCGGCCCCCAGGACATCGACGCGGTCAAGGGCGAGGAAGGTGCCGAGTGCAGTGATGACGAGGACCTTGATGACCGGAATGGTCGACGCCACAAAAAGATCTAATACCCCCATCTATCTGCACAAGGAGAATAGAAAGATGTTCAAAATTTGAAGTAATTAATTAGTCGCCATGACACGAGCAGCAGAACAAGTGGGAACAAAATAAGTAGGAGCAAACAGGGGATTTGGTTTGATTAGTGAGTTAAATCTGTGGTGAATACGTAGTTAGGTAGCTGGCAATCGATTGCGTGAGCATTCAAGTAAGAAATTTCTTGTGCATCATATCTACAATCTACCCTACCCTTTGTAGTTCTTGAACCGGGTATCTAATTCTAATGTATGTTTGTTTGTAGAATCGGTTGCGTTGGATGGTTTTGTGGTTCAACTGGGTGTCGACCTTGATTTTGCAATCCTGACGTCGTTGCATCATCGGTGTCTTATTGTATTATTATTATATATATATGATTCTTTTGTACTTCTACATGGATATATAATATTAATTAAATATTATAAATAAAGAACAGAAAATAAAACAGAATGTATGGACAAGCAAAAGAACAAGAACAGCAGCAGCAGGGAAACCAAAAGAAACGGAGAAAATGCACAAAATACCTTTTCTATCAGACCCAAAAGAAAAAACAGAAAAGCATGCAGAAGAAGAAAACATATGGAGGAAGGGGAATGAGATGAGTTACCCGGCCGATCGATATGGGGCGAGCGAAGAAATGATATATATAAATGGAGCGGGATAGCTAGCTAGCTAGCGGGAGCAAAGGGGCCACTCGCAGAATTACAATGTCGGCGCCGGCAGGCCGGGGTATTGAATTTCTGTTTGATTGGACGGCGTACGTCCTAATGAATTCGCCGGAGGACGATGGTATAAACTTTTCTTCCCTGGGCTGATCGAGGTCAAGAGAAAATATGAAATGGCTGACACAGATTCTAGGAAGATGAGAGAGAGAGAGAGAGAGAGAGAGGCGATGAAAGGAAAGGGTAGCCGAAAATGGGGGCGAGGTGAGGTGTATGTGTTGGGCGTTTCTGTATTTATTAAGTTTTGGGGGTTGGGTTTGGGTTTGGTTTTTGATTCGGTGCAGCGAGAGATGAAAATGAAAGAATGAATTAGCTGCCGGATGGATGGATTGATTCTGTAACCGATCTGACTCCGGCGCTGCTGACCAGAATTCGGCGGCGGAACATAGAGAATTTATATATATTTATATTGTGTTGTGTGCAGCAACCTGGATTGGATCCCCACCACAAGTTGGTGCAGCCAATCTTGGGATTTTGGTAGCTACCCGCAGCCGCCCCCACAAGACTACAAAAAAAAAACAAAAACAAAAATCCCTCCGACTTCTTTCCTGCTGGTTTCCTAAAATGAAGAACATCAAAATGGAATCTTCAACACTAAAATTGTAAGCCTCAAGAGAGGGAGAGAAGACAAGGACGGCGGAAGAATAATAAGAAGCCAAGGAGAAGAAAACTCGTATTTGGCGCATGCACTGCACCTGTCTTGCTTACGCCTCCAAAACCAAACCGTCTTTCTCCTCTGTCTATCTATTCCGCGTCTTGGGAGCGCGCTGACTGCCTCGCCTTGCCTTGCTGGCTGGAATTTGTTTTGGTTTACCTTTTTTTTTCCCTTTTCTAAAATTTATCCCAACCCTTAATTCCTGAGGTTAAGGAATGATGAGCTTCCCTAGTTTAGTTACTTCAATTCCCGTTTTTCCGTCCTGTTTCTTTCTTTGGATTTCTTTACCATTTCTCGCCCTTTGGTCTCACTGATTAACTCCACCTCTTGGAAAAAAATGCCTCTCTCTTCTTTCTCTCTAACGGACATATTCTCTGAACCTGCTAACGGTTCCTTTTCCGTCCCCCTTGCTGGGACTCCTCCAGCTCTTGCAAAGAGCAATCTATTGACCAAATCTCACAACAACAAGTTTCCCTATCCACCTGCACAACACAAAGAAGTTGTTAGTATCATAAATCCAGAGGCAGGGAAGATTCTAATGCTGATTGGACTTCTCGGTGAAGAAAAAACAGATGGAGTTAAGATGAGGGAAGTTTGGAAACCTCCAGATGGCGGCAATAAAGGCTCTCCCAGCCAAAAAAAAAGGAAGGAGAAGTAGATGGGAAGAGGGGAAATCAGTAGCTAAAGATCTGGAAGGTGACTTTGCCATCCACCTCGAGCAGAATGGAGGCTACATTGAGCCAAGAGCCTCTGTTTTGTCAGGTAAAAAACAGGGGAAAGCTCTACCTAGTCCCCTGATGAATACAAAAGCGATTGACAAGAAAGGAAGCTACCGCATTCAAGAGGGAAGAGAGGTGAACAAGGAGGGGAAAGGCTTTAAAGGGAGGAGGAAGAGGGGAGGAGAAGATTGTACTCACCTTTCTAGTAGCACTGCTTATTCCCCCTGGCTTTGGCTAGTCTCAATACCCACCTATAGCAGAGGAAAAATCACTCTACCGCAAACCAAACTTCAAAACTTGCTGCTGTGCACTAAGATGGAGCCCATCAACAATGAAGCAATCACCAACCAGGGGAGAGGAAGCCTCGTCCAGTCGCAAACCAGGGGCAGAGGGGGACGCCTTGTCCTGTCCTCAACTGGAGGGAGAGGGATGTCCATGCTGCTGGGGAAGATGCTGACAGAGAGCAAGGTTGCAGTGGCAAAAGCGGCTGGAGCGGCTCGTTACGCGTGGGGCTGCTACGGGGAGGTGAACATTCAACCAACAGAAACCCAAAACCTGTTCCTGTTCACCTTCAAGAGCAGGGAGATTAGAGATAAAATTTGGGAGGAGAGGCCCTGGAGCTTGTCGAACACTATGACGGCGATCGAGAAGTACAGCGGAAGAGGGAAGCCCGAGGATGTTCCGATTGAAAAGATGGCGATGTGGGTTCAGATCCATGGCCTGCATCAAAATCAAAGGAGTGAGGAGAACATGGTGGCAATCGGATCAAGTTACTTCATGGAGCTGTTGGATATTGACAGAGCAAGCCTGGAATTTACCGGGTACAGGAGATTCCTTCGCATTCTTGTGGAAGTCGATATCAGGGAACCCGTCCCAGTAGGTTTCGATTTCCCCTTTCTGGATGAATTCACAGGAGTTGAGCACTGCGACGAGATTGAATTCAAATATGAGAGATTGGTGGAGCTTTGTTACTTCTGTGGCAAAGTTGGCCATAACTGGCCAACATGTAGAGCTATGAATGAGGAAAGGAGGCAGAAGGGAGTGGCTTACCTGTCCGAAATCTACACTGCCTCGCTGAAGGCGGGGATCGATTCGCCACGAAGAAGCTCCGCGGCTCAGGTCAGGAGCAGGGGAGAAGGAAGAGGAAGCTATCGGGGGAATGAAGCAGGGGAAAGCAATTCTGTGGCGGAGAGGGGCAGTACAGCAGGGGGGATGCAGTTAATCCCACCGGGTTTCATGATTCAACGCGTGGAGGAAGGGCAAATCGAAACGGAGGATCAGGGGCTATTGGGTAGGCAGAGGGGAAGGTACAGGGAAGGGATGGGAGGAAGGGATATCTCCATCGACCTTGAAAAGGCGGCGGAAGAGCTAGAATGGGGTCTGAGATTGGGAGAGGGCGGCGGAGGGTGGGAAGCTGGAAACCAGAGAAGGGGAGTGGGGTTGGGCCAGGGAAGTGGGGAGGGGGAAGTGCAAACAGCACTCTCCCTTGGGCCGGTGATCCAGGAAACAGGTGGGAAGACCCACGGTCAGCTGAACAAGGGCGGTCTTGAGAAGGCCCAGGGTAAAGTAATAAGTGGCGGATCGGGCCTATATCAGCATGCAGAGGAAGAACTGGAGGAAGAAATGGGCCGGGCCAGAAAGAAAAGGAAGGGGACTAACAGGCTGGAGTTGGCTGGGCCCATTATTTCTGAGGGTGCAGTTTTTATGGGAGGGCAAGAAGGAAAGAATAGAAAGAAGAAAGGTATTAGAGGAAAAAAGGGTGCTCAAAGAGTGACGAGATCGGAGGAGGTGGCGGATTGTCAGGAAGATGACTCAAGGGCAGCGGTGGTTCGCCAGAAGCCACCTCATCCAGAATGAGTATAGTAAGTTGGAATTGTAGGGGGTTTGGCCCTCCCCTTACAAGAAGTTATGCGAAGCGTCTATGTAGGCGTTTAGGCCCGTCTATTGTTTTTCTTATGGAAACTAGCAAAAATGAGGTTTTCATGGAAGAACAAAGAAGAAGTCTCAAAATTTTCCCCAATAGAGAGTATGTTGAACCGATCAACTCTTCTAGGGGTTTTGCTTTATGGTGGAAATCCGGTATTAATATTACGGTTTTAAGTAGTGATAGCTACTACATGGATGTTAGTATTGATATGGGTAGGAAATTTTTCTGTACTTTTGTTCATGCACCCTCTACAGCTGTTAGTAGAAGGGAATTTTGGGAGCAATTGAGCTCTCTGCGGAGTAGTAGGGATGATAACTGGGTGGTTGTAGGGGATTTTAATGCTGCAATCTATGAAAATGAGAAGGAAGGGAGATGCCCTCTTAGATACGAGAATGTGGAACCTTTTAAGAGGTTCATATTCCAGAATGCTCTTATTGACCTGGGTTACAAAGGGGAGCCCTTCACTTGGACCAACAAGAGAACGGGCCAAAACTTGACGAGAGTGAGACTGGATCGTGTGCTATGCTCGACGTCATGGCGTGCCCAATTTGGCGAAGCAGTGGTCTTCCATGAGAAAATGGTGGAGTCTGATCACTGCCCGATCATACTGGAACTCCATTATCGGGGAAACAGGAGGAAGAAGACACCCTTTAGGATTGATGAAAGATGGCTTGAGAAAGAAGAATGCAAGGAGATTATTGCCCGCACATGGGACCCTGGAGGCCAATCAACGGAACAACTGAACAAATGTGAAAGAGATCTCAAGGAATGGGCAAAAGACTTCCACAAGAACAGTATACAGAGGGAGCAAGAAATTCTTTCTAGACTCGAAATCCTTCAACAGCCGCCAAGAACAGTGGAGAATGTGGAAGAGGAGAGAATGCTTACTATGGAACTGACGAACATTTGGAGGGATGAAGAAGCATTCTGGAGCCAATGCTCGAGAGTTAACTGGCTCCAAAAAGGTGATCAGAACACTTCCTTCTTTCATTCTAGCACTATATATAGAAAGCATAGAAACAAAATCCTGAAACTCAAAGACGGAGAAGGAAATTGGATTGAAGATGAGAATAGTCTCAAAAGACTAGCTGAAGAGTTTTACATGGATCTGTTTAAGGCTAGGAGTCCGATCCCTTTTAACCATCTGTTGGAAGGCTTCCCTGAAAAAGTAACTAGGGAGATGAATGAGGATCTCTGTACTGAGGTGACTGATGGAGAAATTAGGAAAGCGGTTTTCTCACTGGGAGCTCGAAAAGCTCCTGGACCTGATGGTTTCTCGGGAAGATTTTATAGGAGATACTGGGAAATCCTAGGAGAAACAGTGTGCCGAGAAGTTAGGGGATTTTTCGAGATGACTAATATGCCAGCTGGATGGAATGAAACTCATATCGCAATGATCCCCAAGGTTGATAACCCTGAACTGATAAGCCAATTCCGTCCTATTAGCTGCTGTAATTTTAGATATAAAATCATATCTAAGATTATGGCAACGCGCCTTAAGAAATGGACTCCTGAATTGGTATCTGAGCTCCAAACAGCTTTCACCGGGGGTAGACTTATTCAAGATAATATCATCATAGTCCACGAGGCCCTGCATCATTTCAAAAACCATAAATTGGGTAGGAGGAGAGATATGATGTTGAAATTGGATATGAAGAAGGCTTATGATATGGTGGATTGGGACTGTCTGGAGGCTCTTCTCAAGAAGTATGGGTTTGACAGTAAGTGGTGTGGGTGGGTCAGTTCATGCATTAGAACAGTTAGCTTCTCTATTCTGTTCAATGGGGAAGCAACGGACTCTTTCAAGCCTTCCCGAGGAATTCGGCAGGGAGACCCACTCTCACCATTCTTATTCATCCTCATGTCAAATGCCCTCACCTTCTTGATTGATAAGGCTGTGGCGAACGATAGTCTAAAGGGGATTAAGCTGAATGCTCGATGCCCAGTGCTCACCCACTGCCTGTTTGCTGACGATACAGTCATTTTCGGCAAGGCAGATTACCAGGAAGCGCAGAAAATTATCGATCTCATTGGGGAGTATGGAGCTATTACTGGTCAAGAGGTTAATATTAACAAATCGTCAGTGTTCTTCAGTGCCAATGTCCCCAGCGATGTGAAAGACCAGATCATTGTGAGCATTGGCTTCGCTTCCTCGAACTGCCATTCTAAGTATCTGGGGGTCCCGACGGAATGGGGAAACTCAAAGAAAGAAACTTTTAACTTCCTCATTCAGAGAATGGAAAAGATGGGGGAGGCTTGGAAAAGTCTCCTACTCTCTCATGGGGGAAAAGAGATCCTACTGAAAGCAGTCATTCAAGCTATTCCATCGTATATCATGTGTCTGTTCTATCTCCCAAAGGGTCTCACAAAGAGAATGGACTCTCTTCTAAGTAACTTCTTTTGGTCAGGGTCGATGCAGAAGAATAGTCTCCATTGGTGTAGGAAGGAAATTCTCTGTCTGCCCAAGCATGAGGGAGGTTTGGGCTTTAGGAGTTTCAATGATTTTAACCTTGCCCTACTTGCTAAGCAGGCCTGGCGCCTCCTCACGACCCTTGAGGCACTGTGGAGTCGTCTCCTGAAAGGCTTGTACTTCCCTAGAGGTGATTTTCTTAATGCAAAAAAGGGGAGCAAAGCTTCATGGATATGGGCTAGTCTTTGGGAGGCAAAAAAGGTGATTGGTTTGGGAGCAGTCCGAGTGATTGGATCAGGTAATGACACGTGGGTCGATAGGGACCCTTGGATCCCCACTTTGGACAATTATGCGCTCAGGACGGGCCCGCAGAATCATCAAAAGGTCAACGAGTGGATTGATCCTGGAGAAAGAAAGTGGCAATCAGATGTAATCCAGGGGCATGTGTCCAACTCAGAGCTCGAAGCTATCCTCAGGATTCCAATCGGGGAGGATGGAGCTGAGGACTATTGGGCATGGAACTAAAATGAAGAGGGAAAGTTTACTGTTAAATCTGCGTACCATAAGATCCACAGAGCCAACACCAATATGCAACCAAGCGGGAACACGGAAAAATGGAAGTGGATTTGGAGCCTTCACATCCCCCCGAAGTTGAAATTCTTTGTTTGGAGATGCTCCAAGAATGGGTTAGCAACGAAAGAGAGACTGCACCAGAGGAAGTGTGCTCCCAATTCTTCTTGTCAGGTGTGCCTGAACCCAGTCGAATCCATCAACCACTGCTTGTTCCAATGCCCCCATGCCAAGGAGGCATGGAATGCCCTGTTTCCGTCTCTCCCTTTACCCCCTCAAGGAACCGTGTTCTTTGACTGGTTCTGCTCCCTTAAAGATGTTGTTCAGCACAGCTCCTTGATCCATATTGTTTTCCTTTGTTGGAACATCTGGAAGGCGAGAAACGAATGCGCCTTCAAGAGTAGAATTCCGTGGCCTCCGAAGGTGTGCCAACTTACGTATAAAGAGCTTACTGAATGGAATTCGTGCCCGAGGACCCCTCCTCCCCTGCCCTCCCTTCCCTCTCAGCTTAGGGGAACCCAGTCTCATACGAATCCACCGCCAAGCAATCAGTCTTTGGTGATTCACTGTGATGGGTCGTTTGTTAGCGACCCCCAGTCGGCGGCATATGGTGTTGTGGTTGTTAACCACCATGGACAAGTGTGATGGAAGAGCTGAGAATCTTCTTTGTTCCACCCCGATTGAAGCAGAAACTAAGGCCCTTCTTGAAGGAGTGAAATTAGCTCAAGAATATGGATCCGAGTGTACGGTTCATTCCGACTGTCAGGTGCTTGTGAAAGCTTTGGAAAATGATCGCTCTCGATGGCCATGGAGGTGTGCAGCATGGATCAGATCGATTGTTTCTATTCTCCGTACAAACCCTCTCATCAAAGTCAAAGGAGTGCCCAGAACACTAAATGTTAGAGCAGATTGGGTTGCACGATCAAAAGCTCGAGCATCGCTTCCTGATGATTGGATTAATATTCTTGATCTCATTTCTGATCCGCTTTAAAGATTGTAACCAAGTTTCTCGTCTCCCATTTGTTTGGTGGAATAAAAGTCGATAATCTTTGTCAAAAAAAAAAAAGATTAACTCCACCTCTTGGCTCTTACCTGATTGGCTCCCGTGGGCCCAACCACTCCACGTAAGCCCACACCACTCATTTAATTTCTTATTACCATTACGATTACTTAATTTGGGTGGTCTCCTTTGCCGCCACCTCACCATTCGATTAATTATATAATCCCCTCAAACAGTAATATTAATATACCACGAGTCCACGACGGTAAATAATCCGGGACCGGCGGTAATAAAGGACGGACCACCACCTAGACCAGAAAAGAAAACAACATGTAAATAACATGGGCCTTTTTTTCTTCTGGTCACCACTTTTTGCTTGACCTTCCGTCCATCGGTTTAGAATAAATGGGCCGAAAAACCAAACAATGGACCACGTGACACATAACATACAATCAACCTCTCTATATATATACGCGGATTCAGAATGGGTACATCATTGCACCACATTTGAATAGAGGTAAAGAAGGTTGGGTACGAGCACTAAAATGAATACCCAAAATTGAAAATTTACAAGTGTTATACTAGATTTGGATTCAGAGAAGGACTGCACCATGACCCCAGGGGCAGAGCGCCGGAGCGAGGGGTAATTGGGGGTGTCCAATTTTGGAAAAAATAATTATCCAATCCGACAGTAGTTTGTGTATGGGTAAAAATATATGTATAAATGGTATACTAGGTGATTTAAATTAGGACACTAATATTATTAGCCAACATGTTATCCATTTGACCACAACCCATTTGTTATTGTATTTTAAACACAAGTCTAATAGTAAAAAATGCTATCCATGAAAAAAGACAAGTCTCCAGGGCCAGATGGGTTCACAACAGGGTTTTTCCAGCTTAATTGGGCTGTAGTGGGGACTGATGTTATTCAAGCTGTACACGATTTCTTCAGATCAAGGAGGCTACTCTCGGAGGTAAACTCTACCTACTTAGCACTAATCCCTAAGACTTTGAATGCTGATAATATGAAGCAGTTCCGACCTATCTCCTACTGCAATATAATCTACAAATGCATCTCTAAAGTCTTAGCAAACAGGATTAAGGAGGTACTACCTTTTGTAATCAGTCTGAATCAATCTGCCTTCATAAAGGGTAGATTGATAAGCGATAATATTCTGTTAGCCCATGAGAAGTTGAAAATGTATAGCAGAAAAAAGGTATCTCCTCGATGTGTCCTTAAAATAGATATTATGAAGGCTTTTGATAGTATAGATTGGACTTTTTTTTGTCTACTGTGCTAGCAGCTATGGAGTTTCCTCAGCAGGTTATAAATTGGATTAACACTTGCCTTCAAAGTACTAGACTTAGTGTGAGCTTCAATGGAAGTCTGTGTGGCTATTTCCCTGCTAAGAAGGGCCTGAGACAAAGGGATCCCCTCTCCCCTTATCTCTTCACTATATCTATGAAGGTCCTTTCTAGAATGCTAAATAGAGCCCTGCTAGTAAAAGCTTCGAAATTGAATAAACGATCAGTTTGTGAATGATTGTATAGTAAGATAGAGAGATTTGTTGAGCTGTGTAGACACTGAGTGTATTTTACAACTTTTTTAGAATATGAAAACACGTCATAGACTTTTGCTATACATGCGTGGCCCTGGATCCGCCATTGAATTACCTTTTCTCTCCCCCGTGTTGGGCTAACCAACTCTCTCTATATATATACATGGGCCAACAAACGCAATATGTGCTAGTAGCTGGGGAGGGGAGCGGATCCCATCAGTAACTATATGGTAAGTCAAGGAAAATATACAACTCTCTCTAGTTTGAATTTTCCTCTTCCTTCTCTCTTGATTCTACTTTCCACTCTCCAGGGGGAGCTGCCAGCTTCACCTCTGAGTGACCGGCGACAACCCAAAATTTTCTCTCTTTACATTCCGCTTTTCATTTTCCAACCCTTTATGGGTTTCACATTTCTATTATACTTCTTTCATTTTCTCATGATCTTCTCTTTGGAGATAGTTCATTTTCCACACTTCATATATGTTTATAGATCTTAAAGTCGTTCTCGCGTGGTTCGGTCCTTGTTGGTGGTTGCCAGAGGGAGCAATCATTGTCGGTTTGTTTTCTCCTTTCATGTTTCTAGTATCTACCTCCACACATTTCACCCATAAATGGGGGTGAATCGGAGATGTAACGACTTGATTTGACAAAGATATGTATTCATGGGGTTGAGAGCAGGGATGACATTCTTGCTGAAGAGTTTTTCATCACTTGCTCAATTTGGTGGGGGCTTCAGTTGATTGCCTTTGACACCTTTCTGCTCGTGTATGGGGTTGCTCATATTCTCATGTTTTGGATGTGTTTTGTGGTTGCTCTTCTTTGAGCCTTGCTGCTCTGTTTGTTTGGGTTCCGAGGAGTTGCTTTCTGGTGGGTGAGTGAGTGACTCTAGCGTCAATCCTCCTTTGTTTTCTTTCTCTGTTGTGGATTTCTGCTGGAGGAGCCCTTCTTTTTCGTTTGTTTCTTCTTCATCAGTCCATGCATGTGATGTTGATCTTGTGGCTGGGTTTGATTATCTCTCCTTTTCGTTTCCCGACAAAAGGTTAGCTCCGACGGCAAGAAGGGAGCGGAGAATGGTTGTTGGGTGGGGATGTTGGCTACGACCTTGTGCTGTTTGTTCTATTTTTGGGCTAGGTTTCTCGAGTGTGGGCTTTTGGTTTCCTTTTCAGGCTTTACATTTGGGCTTGCTGCTGGTCTCTCGTTTCTACACTTGTGTTTTCCGACTCTTGAACTTTCCTTCCATTTGAGTTTCACGAACTCATGCTCTGTTCTCAGTGTATGGTTTTATTATCCATTAATGAAACTACTACTCTGTCCAAAAAAAAATATTGTCAGAAATTATTCTACTCGGGCAAGAAGTTATGCACTTTCTGAAAACAAAAACTCAAGGTCGTGACAAAAGGATGGCTTTAAAATTAGACATGGAGAAGGCGTACGATAGGGTAGAGTGGGAATTCTTGTTCACTCTTTTGCAACATTTGGGTTTCTGTGATCAATGGATTAACTGGGTTCGGGAATGTGTCACTACTGTATCTTTTTCTGTGCTCATTAATGGTTCTCCTCATGGCTACTTTCATCCAGAACGTGGCATCCGGCAGGGAGATCCTTTATCTCCCTTGCTCTTCGCTCTTTACACAGAAGGGTTCTCGACGCTCCTTAATCAAGCTATTCAAGCTCAATTTTTACATGGGTTGAAAATCCATTATCGATGTCCTATGTTGTCCCACATATTCTTTGCATATGACACTTATTTGTTTCTTCGTGCTTCCTTATCAGAGTGTCATAACCTCATTACCTTGCTTGAATCCTACCAGCAGGTTAGTGGCCAGAAAGTCAATTTGCAGAAATCCACAGTTACATTCAGCAAGAATGTCTCCACTTATGAAGCTGAAGAAATCATGGCTTTGCTGGGTGTTGCGGCCAGTGGCGCTCATGATAGATACCTAGGTTTGCCTACTAGAGTCTCCAGATCTAAGCAGGAAACATTCCAGTTCATTGAAGATCAGTTAGTATCCAAGCTTCAATAGTGGAAGACCAAATCAATATCTCTGGCTGCCAAAGAAACTCTCATCAAATCGATTGCTAATGCTTTGTCGAATTATGCCATGCTGAGTTTTCGATTGACTCTTACATTTTGTCGCAGATTGAAGGACACTTAGCCAGATTTTGGTGGGCACAGCAGGATAGAGATGCAGGGATTAATTGGACGTCATGGCGGGCTCTTTGTCGGCACAAGTCCAGTGGTGGCCTTGGATTCCGCGATTTCGACACCAATAACAAAGCATTACTAGCTAAGCAAGCCTGGCGTATTCTGCAGGATCCGGACAGCTCCCTTGCGATTCAATATAAAGGAAATTCTTCCTTCTTGCAGGCCACTTCAGGAGCTTGGCCCTCGTGGGCATGGCAGGGTGTTTTGGAGGGTCGTGATCTCCTTCTTCAGGGTGTCAGATGGCTTATCGGGTCTGGGACTCTTGTGAATATTACAGAGGATATTTGGCTCCCCACTACTCCTCCTTCCCGCCCGCAGCTGTTGCCGCACGCAACTCCCCATCTTCTCAAGTTTCATCATTAATTGACCATGTTGCAGGTGTATGGAAGCTGCCGCTGCTGAAAACTCTCTTCGATGAGGACACAGTAAAGGTAATCTGCAGTATCCCTCTTCCTGTATTCCCCATGCCCGATAGAATAGTGTGGCACTATGAATCTTCAGGCGAAGATACTGTCAAGTCAGGCTATCGCATTGCGGCGGCGGCTGATTTCGTTCGAGACCTGTCTACAATTCCGGCGATATTTGATGCTAAAGCTTGGAAGTTCTTGTGGTCACTCCCCGTCCCACCTAAGCTAAGAGTTTTTATGTGGCGGTTGATCAAAGGATACTTACCTGTGAAAGATGTGCTCA